ACACACACGTTTAAAAAGTAAATAAAAATTTGTCTCTTAAAAAAGTCAATAACATTTTTGTTTAAATAAAAAAAAACTAAGATTAATAAACTATACAATAATTATATAATTTATTTACAATATATATATACTTACCTATACCTATAAGCATGTGATTTTTAAAAAATTGATTATTATATAATAATAATTATTATTATTATTTATTTACTGTCTATTTGTTTACTATGTGCCAAAAAAATAAAATAATTCAAACTATAAATAAATTGTTATATTATTAGATAATATACAGTATTAGAAAATAATTAATTATCACATGTTATTGAATTTTATTATATTTATACTGTATATAACAGTATATATTTTTATTTAATTATTGATAATATTAAATCTATAAAAAAAATTACATTGTGACTTTTTTTAAAAAAAATAATAATAATCAATTAGTATTATTATTATTGATAATATTACACATATTATTATTGATAATATTATACATATTATTATTATTATTACACTTTTAGTTGTCATATGCTTTTTTTATTGTTAAMTTTTATTAATATTAAATAAAATTGAGCTTGTTCAACTATAAATATATATATATATATATATATATATAGTTTATATCAAGTGCAATAAACTTGGYAATGATYTTAATWAATATTTTTAAAATTAATTTTTAAATWATAATATAWTTTTTTTTAAATATTTATATTAAACATAAATTTATTTATTTTTGAAAACTAGATTTTATTTTAGTTTWAAATAAAAAAATGTTTCTTTTAATAATTATTTTAATTTGAAATTAATTACATTTTTTTATATTTCTCAGTTAATTGCAATGCATTACATTATAACTAAATAAAATAAACTTATTATCAAATATTTATTTTAAAAAAAAAATWATTAAWTGATTTAATTAATTATTTAGTTTTTAGCTGCAATATGATAATTATGATGTTATTAAAAATATATTAAAWAAAAAAAWAATTTTGATTTATTAATTTGTTTATTTTATATAATTGTTTAGTTTATAATTTTTTAAAAAATAWTTTTTTTATTTTAAAAAAATAAATAATAAACAAAACAAAATTATTTTTTAAAAACATGTATTAACTACTAGTTAGTAACAGTTATACATAGTTATATACAGTATAGTCTAGTTATTATATCAGTGTAACTATGGTTTGAAATAATTTTAGTTTAGTTTACTTTATTSATACGTAACTAATCACTGATAAAAAAAAAATTGCAATTTTTATCACTGGATAACAGTTTATTAAATTTTGTTTTTTGTTATCAATTATTGTTATCAATGGGAAACTCGTTTAAAAAAATCATTGAAAAATTGGTAAAAAATAAAATAATAATAATTTATTGCACAAAAAAATTATTTTTTTTATATAAAAAAATTGTTGGCATCAGTCTAGTGATAATATTTTTTATATATTAAATAATWWAATTTTATTTTACATTTATTTGCAAAATTAATATAATAAATGTAATAAATTTCWAWTTCAATGAAAAAAATGTTATAAATACTTAAAACAAACAAATAATTATTTCTAAAATAATTAATATTTTTTTTTATTAATTTTATTTATTTAGTTATAATWTATATTTAATTTATTTATTTTCTAATTAATTAATAGCTAACTATTTTTGTTTAAAAAAATGTATTATAAACTATACAATCATTTAACTATACTAATAGTTATTACTATYAGTAATAATATTACTAATAATAATATAYTAYCAGTGATGTCGTCACCRATATGTCMGGACAGTAGTACCGGTGATACTATWGTATTGGCCAACGAGTGCTGGCATCGGACCACCACTACAACCACCAAAAATGGTGACCCCATGTCATCCACACCATTAGCATCGCCACCGCCATTTCCTGAGGATAGTTACCGGCGGTCAGGGCAGACAATATACAATACAGTATACACCCGGTAGTGGCCGCGGACCGGGTGGTATTACCGTAACGGATGCACCGRTMATCGATAGACAGTATGTTTGYGTATATATTGAACTYGGTGGTCGCAAAACAYTGGCCCAGGCGGTCAAAGTYGGCCAAAACACGACCAGTCAAGTMCGGGGACCGTTGGCCAGGTATACGGTTGGCGGCACCGGTAGGCTAGCCTTGTATACTATTAGAAATTATTTAGAAAAAAATTGATAATTATTTTATATTAATTAATTATATAGATATATAAATTAGTAATTWAATTGAAATGTTTTTTTTTAAGATTATTATTTAAATATATTTATTTAATAATGTATTTAATGATTAAATAAATTAATAAATTAATTATTTATAATAAATTTTTTTTAAATCTAAGTGAGTGTTGAAAATGTTTTAGTAATTTTTATTTACATAATTATTAATTAATTTTTAATTATTTTTAATTTTTCGCAACAATAATCTGTAATATCATTTAAAATTGTGATAATTATACTGTAAATGATTAGATTATAAKATTTTTTTTAATAATTAATAAATTATTTTTTTTTTTAAATATAATATACATTAAAATATTATTTTTTTTTGTTTCTAAGCCAACAATTTTAATTTAAAAAATTATCAAAATAATTAATCTTTAATTTTTTATTTATATAAATAAATCTAATACTACTAGTAATACCTGATTCAAAATCAAACACTGTGAGTATTTGTGTGTGTGTGTGTGTGTGTGTGTGTGTGTGTGTGTGTGTGTGTGTGTGTGTGTATGTGTGTATGTATGTGTGTATGTATGTGTGTATATATATGTGTATGTATGTATATGTGTATGTATGTGTGTATGTATGTGTGTATATATATGTGTATGTATGTATATGTGTATGTATGTGTGTCTGTGTATTTATATATGTGTGTATATGTATGTATGTGTGTGTGTGAAACGTGTCGACAAATTGTGATAATAATAGTCACTATAAGGTATTTATTAATTATCAGTCAATAATTAATAATTAATATTACTATTAGATATATCGTTCAAAAATTTTTTTTATCAATCAGTTAGTTGTCTGGCATTTAGCAGACTCTCTATCAATTGATCGGTGTATCTGTTAATACAGTAACTCAAAAAATATTACATTTTATTTTTTTTAATCATTTTTTAGATAATTTTTTTTAAATATTTAAAAAAATACATTAATATATAATTACCTTAAATTATTTGTCACTATAATTATAGATCTATTGATAAGCATTTCAACTAATTATATAAATTTATATAATTATTATTAATAATATTATTTCTATTATYAATAAWTGACCTTGCTACTATTTRTTTATTATCTAATATAGCAAATATATAATAAATACTTTACTAAACAATATATTTCTAATAACGATAATTATTTTTTTTAAATAAATATTTTGACATTTTTTTAGATTATTATTAGTATAATTAATAAAAATAAATAATAATTATAATCCCGARCGWGTGTTGAYCTAAAATATTTTAATTTTAAAAAAACTAAATATCAATATAATATTTTTGATAATTAAAATGTTACAGTTTTGTACTAAAAATAATTTAAAATTATTTTTATAATTTTTACTTTAAATAAACTAATAGTAATATAACTATCCACCATTTTTTTAATACTAAACTAATTTAACTTTTAAAAACTAAATATTAGTATATTATTACTAATAATTAAAATWTTACAGTTTTTTATTTTAATRAAAAAAATTACTATAATTATATATTTGTWGTTGTTAAAATWGMTTAATTTTATTAATATTTYAAATAAATCAATAAAATTAATTAGAAAATTAAATTACAATAATGTTTTTTTTGATAATTTTATTTTTATTACATAGCATTTCAGCTAAAWATTTATATACATATTATTATATTTCAATTATTCAAATTGACCTTGCTACTATTTTTATCTTATAKCAAATATAATACTATACTAAACAATATATTTCTATTAATGATATGTATTTAAAAAAAAATATTTTGATATTATTATTAGATTTTTATTATAATTTTTTTTCTAAAAGCTAATAATAATATAAAAATTAATAAATATCTGACTGACTGCTGATCTAAATTATTTTAATTTTAAAATAATAAATATAAAGATAATATTTTTAATAATTAAAATGTAACAGTTTTATACTGAAAATAATATAAAATATAAATTAATTATTTTATAATTTTTTTAAAAAAWAAYAATTAATAGTAATATAAATATTATAAAATCATCCAATTTTTAGCAACTAGAATATTTTAAATTAAAAAAACTAAATATTATTATATTATTACTGATAATTAAAAAGTTGCAGTTTTTATTATATCAAAAAAAATAACTATAATTTTAATTGTTAATACTTAATTTTAATTTATTTTAAAATAAATAAATTACAATAATGTTATTTATTTAGATTTTAATTTTAAATTTACATAGCATTTAAATTTTTYAAATTATTATTATTTTTTAGACAATAATCAACTAAATGGTTGACCGCGTAATCGGTAATCACTTGAGGTTTGTTTAGTTCAACTAATTTATTGCATATATTGACAAATATTTGCAATTTTTGTAATACATATATATTCTACAAAATAAATAATAATTAAAAAACAAAAACAAATTTTTTTATTTTAATAATTTGTATAATTATTTTTTTTTATATTCAAAAAATAATAACTAACCTTGTTTAAATTTAAACAATCATTGTTAAATGTGTCGACAAACTTGCGATAACAGTCATCACTACGGGTGCCGCCAATCAATTGACGGTCAGTTAGCATAGTATCGGTTATGTCGACATCATTGCTAATCATATGACTAATACTGTGGACATATTGCCGAAAATGTWGGTCAACTACAACCCGGCGCTCTAACAATGATTTTAAYTGTTGTACATATCTATCAACAAMAAAAAATATATATATATTAATTAAATTTATATATTAGTATTTATAATTTTTTTTAAATTAATTAAAATTTTTTTTACTAAACTGTAATTTATCCAWCAAATTATWGCTATATGTTAATTTCAATTCAAGTAAACGTACTTGAACATTTTGTTTGCTAGCATACTCAGTGCTATTATCTATTGGTGGCAATTGATAACTACTACTACTACTACTAGCATCATCATTATTATTATTATYAATTAMCATTATATTGTTCAATGATTTTTTATGACCTARTTAAAAAAAATTGTATTAAAAAACAATTAATTAATTTTACAAAATTTTTCTAAATAGTATTTTCTAAATAAAAAAAATTGTTTTTAATTACCAAAAAAATCGGACAACCGTTTTGTACCCATTGATAGTTGACCGTAACGTTGCGGGTGCTGATGACCCGGATGTTTTTTGGTCAGTTGCTGGGTTTCATCAATAACTTCCGTCCTATTCAATCGGTGCCACTGTTGATCRAGGGTACGGTGCTCYAARTCAGCCTGTTCAGTATCATTTAGATAAGCTGATAATAACCATGCACCTATTTTTTTAACATGGATGTTTAAGTAAGTTAAGTTAAATAATTTAMTAAAATATTATTATTTTTAATTATTTTTTTAAACAAAATTAATTTACCTAAAAATGTATTTAGCTTRTATCGTAATAATAAAAATAGCTAGACTCATTGCCCAACGATGATGTAACCGCATAGATATTTATATCCGATTTTAATGTATGATCAAACATTGAACCTAGATAAATTTATTTAGTTAGCATTATATTCAATATAAAATAGTTTATGGGAAGATTCATATAATACGTTCGCACTATTTTAAGAAAACTAGACCCCCTTCCTCCCTCGATATGTTCGCATTTTTTGTTGCAAATAGTTTTCTCTGTAAAAAAAATCGACTTTTGTTGACCCCTTCCCACTTACAAATGCAAATGTAATATGTGAATATCCCCTTACTGTATATTTATTATTATTATTATATTTATTATTATTATTTTGATTATTATTTTGATTATTATTTTCATTATTAATTTCATTATTATTTTGATTATTATTTTGATTATTATCGTAAAATATTTAATATTATTGTTAAATTTATTTAACTTTTACTTTTTTTAAATAAATTTAAAAAATTTACCTGATTCACATGTATCAATATAAAAAACTAGATTAGCGTAACGTTTATTTTTGTGCATATATACCAATGCATTATTCAAATCTTTAGCATGCAGATAACTTGATGGAAACATTACTAATCCTATTTTTTAAATTTTTTTAAAAAAATATTAACTATAATTAATTAATAATTAAAAAAACTAGGATTACCAGGTGATCCGTGATCGCCGAACCATAGAAATACGTTATCGTTTGGACCACTTTTCAGCACTTTTCGGCCCTTTTTCTCCAATTCCGGATCACCTTTAAGTACAGCTAAATAGTTCTGATAAAATAAATTTTAAAAATAAAAAATAATAATAAAATTTATTAATAAAATTTAATTGACATTAAATTAAAAAATTATAAATTTACTGTATATTATTTTCAACAAAAAATTTTTTTAAAGTTTTTATATAAATATATTTTAAATTATATTATTATTGATAAAATTTAGACATTTAGAAAAATATTTTTTTTAGAGTATATTATAATACTTATTTTAATTGTATTTAAAAATAAAATTTACATTTTAATAATAAATATTAATTTATAAACATTATAAAATGGTTGTAAAACATCTAATTTAGGCTTATTATGTATTATATTTAATTTCAAATTATCTATTTACAGTCTATTATTAGACTGTATTTTATGTTAGTAATAGTAAATTATTTTTAAGTATTAATTATTTTATTAATTTTTTTTAATTTGAACAAATTATTAAAATGTATAAATCAAAATTTAAAAAATGTTTTTTTATACTAACCTCTGGTGTAACATCATTGCCGGTATAATCTTTGGGTACGCCGTGATAGACATCGGGACCTCCGGGAACATTGATTACAATACCCGGTGTCGGGTTATTGGTATTGTTGGCAATGTCATCGTAATGAAACATTATGATATGATCATCGGGTATACCATACGACCGGAACATATGATAGGCCCGGTATATCATTGACTATGTTTTATTTAATACAAAATAACTATTTTTAACTAGCTTATTTATTTAATACACACACACACATACATACACACATACATACATACATACATACATACACACATACACACACATATACACACACATACACACACATACACACACACATACAAAAACATACACACACACATACATACATAAATACACACACATACACACACATGCACACATACACACACATACACACACATACACACACATACAGACACACATACACACACATACACACACACATACAAAAACATACACACACACATACATACATAAATACACACACATACACACACATACACACACACATACACACACATACACACACATACACACACATACACACACATACACACACATACACACACATACACACACACATACACACACATACACACACATACATAAACATATACTAACCTGATCGGCATAATTATACCAGCCTTTACTACCGGCAGCCAATACAACCCAATTGTTACCACCATTTACTAGAGGAGGACTGTTAGCTAATGGTACGGTATGTGCTGTAAATAATTTACACAATGATAATAATACAACTACTGTTAATAATAAAGTAGTCATTATAAATTTCAAATATTGTTTTAAAATTAAAAAAATAATATTAAATAATTTTTTTTAAACAGTATTTAAACAATAGTTTTTTTATAAAAAAAATTATAACAATAATAACTAATAATTTTATACTACATATTATATATATATATCATATGATTATTATTTGTACTTTAAAAAAATAAAATATTTTTTTCAAATTGTATACTTTTATCTATATAATGATAATGATAAAAATAATAATAATAGCAAATTTCAAGCTAACTTAATCAATTTTTGTGACTTATAAAAATATCATAATAATTATGTGCTTTTTGATGATTAGTTTTATTTATTAGTTAATAATAATAATAATAATTTTTTTATTTTATTATAAAAATAACACAATAACAAACTTTAAAAATATATTTAATTAACTAAAAAAATTATATTTACTAAAATATATATAATAATTTATTTATTTAATTAGCWAAATTACAAAAATAATAYATTTTTATTATTAATAAAATTATTTWWAATTAAAWAAACAATATCATRTACATTAATTTTACAAAATTTTAATGCAATAATTGGTGATATTGTCATATTATGATAAAGATATATATAAATAGTATATTAAACTATWAGTTTAATTATAATACACTTTTTTTAATGATTACCTCCCAGTGCTGAAAATTATAGTAACAAAAAAAATATTATTTAATCTAATATATAAKATTTTTATTTAATTTTTWTTTGTAAAAACATAAGTTTAAAATTTTAGTTTATTTAATTCAATAATGAAAACCAAAATTATAGTAATCTATTATATGTATACATAAAAAATAAAATAAATAAATTTTATTACATTAATTACTAAATTATTRTAATAAATATATTAAAAATAAGTTTTTTATTATCAACAATTAATTATCTAAATGTCAACAATTATTTACTACTAACTTAACTTTAATTAAAGTATTAAAACAAACAAAAAACAAAAAACATTGTGATATTATATTTTTTTTAAATTTTATTAATAATTATCATATAAAATAATTTAAAAATGCAATAATAATAATGTAATTATACTTTATAACAGTTAAAAAGCAAAACAAGCTATAACTAACTAATAATTTTATCAATTTTAAAAACTAAATATTATTATATTATTTCTAATAATTAAAATATTACAGTTTTGTATAGYTTTCTATTTTTTTTTATTTTAATTAAAATAACTATAATTTGCTACAGGTATTTAATTTTTATTAAAACAAATTAATAAATAAAAAAAAATGGACAACTAAGTTTTTTTTGTAATGTATTTTTAAATTTTTTTACATAACATTTATATTTTTTAAATTATTATTTTTTAGACAATAATCAACTAAATGGTTGACCGCGTAATCGGTAATYACTTGATGTTTGTTTAGTTCAACAAATTTGTTGCATATGTTGACAAATATATGCATTTTTTGTAATACATATATATTCTACAAAATAAATWAATACCAAAAAAAAAATTATTAATTTTATAATTATTTTTTTGTAAAAAAAAAAATAAATAAAAATCTAACCTTGTTCAAATTAAAACATTTATCATTGACAGTGTCGACAAAYTTRCGATAACAGTCATCGGCATTAACACTGTTAGCTAWCAATTGACGSCCAGTTAGYATAGTATCGGTTATGTCGACATCACTACTACTACTACTACTACTACTACTACTAATCATATGACTAATACTGTAGACATATTGCCGAAAATGTYGGTCAACTAATACCCGCCGCTCTAACAATGATTTTAATTGTTGTACATATCTATYRAAAAAAATCAAGTTTTTTGTAATTATTAATTTTTTATTTTAAATATTAGTTTTTAACTTTTTTTAATTAATTAAAAATTTAATTACTAAACTGTAATTTATCCATCAAATTATTGCTATATGTTAATTKCAATTCAAGTAAACGTACTTGAACATTTTGTTTGCTAGCATACTCAGTACTATTATCTATTGGCGGCAATTGATTATTACTACAACATTATCATCATCAACATCAATTGATATGTTTACTGATTTTTTATGACCTAGATAAAATATATTGAGTTTTAAAAAATATTCTATAATTTATTTTTAATTATTAAAAAATATTCTATAATTTATTTTTAATTATCAAAAAATATTCTATAATTTAAAAAAAATTATTAATTACCGAAAAAATCGGATAAATGTTTTGAACCCATCGAYAGATTACCGTARCGTTGCGGGTGCTGATGACCCGGATGTTCAGGGGTTAGTCCACGGGTTTCATCAATAACATCCGTCCTATTCAATCGGTGCCACTGTTGATCGAGGGTACGGTGCTCAAGGTCAGCAGCTTGTTCAGTGTCATTTAGAAAAGCATAYAATAACCATGCACCTAATTTAAAAATTAATGTATGACCCCCCCAGCCCCCCCCCCCCCCCATAAATTTATATTTAAACTTGAAAATTATTTTTTAATGTTTAAAATTTTTTTAAATACCTAAAAATGTTTCTAGCTTTTTATCGTAATAATAAAAATAGCTAGACTCAGTGCCCAACGATGATGTAACCGCATAGACATTTATATCCGATTTTAATGTATGTTCAAACATTGAACCTAGRTAAATTTAATAGATTTATTATTATTATTATAAAWTAGTTWAGTGRWGATTCATATATTACGTTTGTAACTATTTTAAGAAAACTAGRCCCCTTCCCKCCCAATGTTTGCATKTTTTTTGATATAAATTTTTTTTTGTAAAAAGTTTCTGTATTGGTCAACCCTCTTTTTCCCCCCTCCACAAATGCGAACGTAATATGTGAATCTCACCTATATATATATATAATAATAATAATAATATTTGTGCCATAATTGTTATAGAAACGCATCAATTTTTAAAATACATTATTAWTATTATTTTTTTAGTTTTTTCAAAATAAAATTTTAAAAATAAAATTAATTAAAATTTAACCTGATAAACATGTATCAATATAGATAACTAGATTAGCGTAACGTTTATTTTCATACATATATATCAATGCATTATTCAAATCAGTATAATGTAGATAACTTGATGGAAATAGTACTACACCTATTGTATATATTTTTATAAAAAAATAAAATTAATTATTAATTTTAATAAAATATAACAGTTTTAATTAATTAAAAAACTAGGATTACCAGGTAGTCCGTGATCGCCGAACCATAGAAATATGTTATCCATTGGACCGCTTTTCAACACTTTTCGGCCTTTTTTAACTAATCCGGGATCGCCTTTAAGTACCGCTAAATAGTTCTGACAAAAAAAACAAACAAAAAATAAAATAATATTATTTTTTTTAAATTTATATAATAAATCTAATTATTCCTATTAAATAAATAACACTGTAGTAGTATTAATACAGTATATTAAGCTTAGATAATATTTTTTTAAATTTATTTTCTAATTTCTAATTTATAAATATTGATTTTTTTCTAGATTATCAATAATATATTTTTATATATTTAAAAAAATATATTATTGCACTTAATATAGATGTAATAATTTGAAAATTTGTAAAAAAAAGTAAAATAAAAAGTTTAAAAAAGTAAAATAAAACTTTTAAAAAAAATATTAAGGTTGTGTAGTTGCTAATTACTTTAATTTAATTGTTTTGTTTTGACGTATATTTAATTGTATATTAATTATTTACAGTCTATTAAAATTGTTATTAAAATAATTATTATTTATTTGACGAATATTCTGTTAATAATTGTAATTATTTTTAAGTAATATTTTATTTTGATTATAATTAAAATAAAACTAAAACTGTTATTTTAGTTGTTTACTAAAGTGTATTTTTTAAAAAATAAATTAAACTTAAATATATTAAAATATATATAATATTAATTTTTAAAAATTAAAAAACATATCTGAATAAAGTCTAATTAATAAACTATTATTTAAGTTTATTATGTATTATATTTAATAAATTAATTAATAATTTACAGTCTATTATTAAACAGTATTTTTTATAAAATAGTTATTTATATGAATATTATGATTAGTTAATAGTTATATTATTTTTAAGTATTAATTATTTTATTTATTTATTTTTTTCTTAATTTAATCTAATTATTAAACTGTATTAAAAATATATTAAAAATATTTATTTTTTGATACTAACCTCTGGTGTAACATCATTGCCGGTATAATCTTTGGGTACGCCGTGATAGACATCGGGACCGTCGGGTACGTTGATTACAATACCCGGTGTCGGGTTATGGGTATCGTTGGCAATGTCATCGTAGTGAAACATTATGATATGATCATCGGGTATACCATACGACCGGAACATATGATAGGCCCGGTATATCATTGACTATGTTGTTATTTAATATACAATAACTTTTTTTAGCTAGCTTATTTTTTAATATATAAATTAAATTATAAGACATACACACATATATATACACACACATATTCACACACATATTCACACACATATTCACACACATATTCACACACATACACACACACATACACACACATACACACACATACATACACACACATACATACACACACATACTTTATTGAAAATTATTATTATTAGTATAGTTAGTTATTATACCATAATTAAGGTTTATATATATATATATATATATATATATATATATATATATATATATATATATACCCAATTACACWACTAACCTGATCGGCATAGTTAGACCAGCCTTTACTACCGGCAGCCAATACAACCCAATTGTTACTACCATTTACTAGAGGAGTAGGACTGTTAGCTAATGGTACGGTAGTATATGCTGTTGTAAATAATTTACACAATGATAATAATAATACTACTAATAATAAATTATTCATTATTAAAATTTTATCAATGAACTTAATATTGTTTTTATTTTTAATAATTRAATAATTTTATTATAATAAAAATWAAAATTAATTTTAAAAAKTAGTTTATATATAATAGTTTTTTTAYAACAATTACAACAATAATATGTAATTAATTTTTACTATTTGTATATCATATGGAATTTTTTATATATAATWTWTTTTTTTAAATCTATAGATTTATCATTTTTTTATTGATAATTATTATAGTTTTAATAATAATAATAATCATAGCTAGCTAATTGATTAATTAAATTTAATCWATTTTTGTGACAAATTAAAAATGTATGATTTAACACTTAATTAWATCAAAAWTTATTATCTCCTTTTATTRATTATTTTTATTTGTTTGATAATAATAATAATAAATATTTATTAAAAAATAGTATCATTTATTTAGTTTAACAGTTTTGTTTAGTTTATAAACTAAATTAATATCAAATAAATAATAATTTATTTAACTATAGTTCAATTAGAAAAATAAATAATATATTTTTATTATTAAATATAAAATAAAAACAATATACCTGTACATTAATTTTACAAATTTTAATTGAWTTATTTTTTTATATAATCWTATGATAAAGWTTAGATTATTTTTTTTTATTAAACTTAATTGATTACCTCCYAGTGYTTAAATTATAGTAKAAAAATTATATCATYTAYAATATTAAATATWATATTATATTTTTATTTTTAAAAAAAACATTGAAATTATTTAATATATTTTTAAAGATAATAATAGATAAAAATTTTAGGGTGATATGTTGTATTTATATTTGTTTTTGAATTAAAAAATATTTATTATAATTTTATACTTTTAATTAYAATAATAATAATAATAAATATGTAAATTATTTAATTATAATAATTTATTTATCAATTTTAAAATACATGATAATTTTTCTAATATTTAATTATTATACTAATATTTTTTTAACAAAAAATACTAAATTTTTATAGTAATAAATTAGTTAAAATACTTTAATTAATAATACTTTTAAATTTTTTATAAGTATATTTTGTTTATTATTTAAAATTTAAAATATTATATATAAATAGTAGTAATAATTGCAATAGTAATAAAACTTGAAGTGTTTATTATTTATTTTAATTTTTTTAGTATTCAAACAAATTGTTTCAAATTATTTTGTCGACAGTAGTCCACCAAATGGTTGACCGCGTAATCGGTAATCAYTAGCGGTTTGTTTAGTTCAACAAATTTGTTGCATATATTGACAAATATTTGCAATTTTTGTAATACATATATATTCTACAAAATAAATACAAAAATAAATAAAATTTATTAATTAATTTATTATGTTGATTTTTTWAAAAAAAAAACTAACCTTGTTCAAATTAAAACATTTATCATTGACAGTCTCGACAAACTTGCGATAACARTCATCGGCATTAACACTGTTAGCTAACAATTGGCGCTCAGTTAGCATAGTATCGATTATGTCGRMATCACTACTACTACTACTACTAATCAGTGTATGACTAATACTAWCAAATATTGTCGGAAATGTCGGTCAACTAATATCCGGCGCTCTAACAATGATTTTAATTGTTGAACATAGCTATTAAAAATATATATATAATTAAATTTAAATATTAGTTTTTAATTTTTTTTTAAATTAAAAATTTTTACTAAACTATAATTTTCTATCCAAACTTGTACTGTACTGTAAACGTAATTCAGCCAAWCGTATATCAGCATTATGTTTGCTAACTAACTCATAGTTATTATTATTATTATTATTATTATTRTCACTAATTGRTAGTAATGGATATTTTGATTCATCAATAGATTTTTTATGTCCAAAAAACTGTGACAAGGTTTTCGACCGCATCTCTAGTTGACCGTAACGTTGAGGATATTGATAGCCTGGATGATCGCGGGTTAGGTTTGGGTTTCATCGATAACGTGAGTCCTATTCAAATAATGCCATTGTTGGTCCAGGGTACGTTTATCAAGGTCAACAGTTTGATCAAGATCAATTAGAAAATGTGATAATACCCATGCACCTATTTTTAAAAAAAATATTTTTATATAATATATATATATTATATATACAGTTAATGAAAATTAAAAGTTTTAATTTTGATTAATATTAACAGTTAACTTTAGCTTAGCAAGGTAACTTTAGGTATATATACAGTTACCTAATATTAGTTAAGTTATATAAAGTACCTTGGCTAAAGCATTACATAATATTACTTAAATTWAAAAYTTTTAAATTGCATAAACTGTATATATATATAAGCACCCAGATGCTTTTACCTAAAAATGTTTCCAATTGTTTATCATAATAATAAAAATAACTACCATCATCAATTGGTGCTGACGTAACAGCRTAGACATTTAAATCACTGGTTAGTGATTTATTAAACATTGAACCTGGATGATTGTACAAAAAAAATAATTTTWAAAAAATATTATTATAAGATATTAGTTTATATTATTTATTTTATTTTGAATAAATGCWAAAATGCGCATGTATATTAMTTAATAACAATGTTGATTAATTTTTTTTAATTGTATAAAAAATAATAATAAAATACCAAGRTATATAAAATTATTTGATAATTGATRATACCGGGTATATACTGTATTACCTGAAAAGCATGTATCAACATAATAGACTAGATTGGCGTAACGTTTATTTTCGTRCATATATACCAGTGCCGAGTGTAGATCACTCGAGTGTACACCTAATTTCGGGAACAGTATCATACCTATATTTTTTTTTAAAATTTAAAAATATATATATAAATTAATTTTAAAAAATAATAATTAAAAACTAGGATTACCAGGTGCTCCGTGATCGCCGAACCATAGAAATACGTTATCGTTTGGACCGCTTTTCAGCACTTTTCGGCCCTTTTTCTCCAATTCCGGATCGCCTTTAAGTACCGCTAAATAGTTCTGACAAAAAGCAAACAAACAAAAAAATGAAATAAAAATAAATTTATAATTATTATTAAACTTTTTTTATTAAAAAAAAATTATTTAATAAACTATCTATTTTTTTCCTATTAAATAAATAACACTGTAGTAGTATTAATACAGTATATTATTAAGCTTAGATAGTATTTAAATAATAAAAATAAAATACAAATATATTTATAATTATTATTATACTATTTTTTTTTAAAAAATATATATTATATAAAAAATGTCTATTTTTYCCCAATAATTTAATARCATTGTAATATTAATATTAATATTAWTATAGTAAGTTTAGATAAAAATTGTTGATAAAAATTTATTTTAATTTCTAATTTATAAATATATTATAGTTTTGTTTTTCTAGATTATAAATAATATATTATTTTTATTTTAAAAATAATATATTAATGCATTACAAGCAATTTGTATCCAAAAAAAAATAATAAAAATAAAATAAATTAAGTTAGATAAATTTAAAAATAGTTTTTTTTTTAAAAAGTAAATTAAAACATAAAAAAATTTATGTTATAATCGCTACTAATTAAATAACAATAATTTATTGTTATTTTAACTTATATTTAATTGTTTAATTAATTATTTACAGTTTATTAAACTATTCAATTAAATAGTTATTTTATATTATAGATTAGATAATATAATACCATCAAAAAAAAAATATTCCCYAATAATAATAATATTAATTATTTCTACTGAAACCTAAACTAACCTCTGGTGTAACATCAGCACCGGTATAGTGTTTGGGAACGCCGTGATAGACATCGGGACCTCCGGGAACGTTGATTACTTTACCCGGTGTCGGATTGTGTGTATTGTAGGCAATATCGTCGTAGTGAAACATTATGATATGATCGTCGGGTATACCGTACGACCGGAACATATGATAGGCCCGGTATATCATTGACTATGATTTTATTTAATACAGTTTTTTAGCTAGCTTATTTTTTATAATATATAAATTAAATCATAACACACAAACATATACACACAAACATATATATATATATATATATATATATATATATATACATACACACACATACACACACACCCACTAATACTAACCTGATCGGCATAGTTGTCCCAACCAATACTACCGGCAGCCAATACAACCCAATTATTTTGGATAATATTATTAGTTGAAGCATAATTACCGTTTACCGTTACTACTAATAATACCGGCAATAAACATACTAATACTAATAATAATTGTTTCATTGTTTTAATTTAATTTAATTTTTTTAATTATAAAAACTATTAATTTTATTTTATTTTTTTAGTTAAATCACAATATTTATTATTATTACTAAATAAATAATTAAAACAATATATAGAATATATTTATATATACCAATATATTGAACTTACACAATATGTACTTGAACCATTATCAATAGTTTGATTATAAACACTTTAACATTTGAAAAAAAATTAAAACAGTTATTACAATTTAATAATCACTATTGTTTAGAGTAATTGATTTATTTTATTTATTTTTTTAAAATTGTTTTATCAATTATTGTAATATAATATTGGTTTATATTGATAAAAAAAATTACGTTGGTTATTATATATAATAATTTATATAGTTTCAAAAATAGTAAAAAACAAAATTGATTTTACATTGCTTTATTAATTAATTGCAAAAAAATATTCACACATACACATACACATACACATACACATACACGTACACATACACATACACATACACATACACATACACATACACATACACATACACATACACATACACATACACATACACATACACATACACATACACATACACATACACATACACATACACATACACATACACATACACATACACATACACATACACATACACATACACATACACATACACATACACATACACATACACACATACACATACACATACACATACACATACACATACACATACACATACACATACACATACACATACACATACACATACACATACACATACACATACACATACACATACACATACACATACACATACACATACACATACACATACACATACACATACACATACACATACACATACACATACACATACACATACACATACACATACACATACACATACACATACACATACACATACACATACACATACACATACACATACACATACACATACACATACACATACACATACACATACACATACACATACACATACACATACACATACACATACACATACACATACACATACACATACACATACACATACACATACACATACACATACACATACACATACACATACACATACACATACACATACACATACACATACACATACACATACACATACACATACACATACACATACACATACACATACACATACACATACACATACACATACACATACACATACACATACACATACACATACACATACACATACACATACACATACACATACACATACACATACACATTCACATACACATACACATACACATACACATACACATACACATACACATACACATACATTTTATTTATTTTTTAAATTCTCAAAAAATTTTAATTAAATAATTTTCAATTTACAATTTATTTTGGAACACATATTCTAATTTTAATTGCATTCATTTTTTGTTGTTTTGTTTGTGGTTGAGTTTGGCATTTAAAAGATTTACAATCACCATTTTTTTCACAATCTTCACCATTTAATTTATTTGTAGATGCTGTTATTATTTTTTTTTAATAAAATAAAATTTAAACAATAATTGTAATTAGTAAAAAAACTAAAAATAATTTAATCTAATATTTTTAACAACAAAGTATAAATAGAAAAAATATTTTACCTAGAGCCAATCCATAATTATCAATCAATACAATCAATAATAGTGATATATGAATTAAATGTTTTACATCCATTTTTTTTAATTTAAATTATCAATCTATAATATATGTTTAGAAAAACTTAATACTTAAAACTTTTAGTAACACCTTTAGTTAGCTATTAACTGATAAATTATTACTATTTTTATTCAGTATATAACTTTAATTAAATATATATTACTTACAAACAGATGGTTAAAAAAAGTTTATAAAATTATTGCACACATAGACATCAATTTCTATATATTTAATATATAAATCTTATTTACTATACATTCACTACTTCAGCGCTTCTCATACTCTACTAATCTACAAACTATTTACCATTTGTATTACCATTTGCTCCATTGTTTTACAATAAAATAAATCGTGTCTTCATATCAATTATATATATCAGCAATCGGTCTGACTAACATAACCTAACCTAACCTAACCTAACCTAACCTAACCTAACCTAACCTAACCTAACCTAACCTAACCTAACCTAACCTAACCTAACCTAACCTAACCTAACCTAACCTAACCTAACCTAACCTAACCTAACCTAACCTAACCTAACCTAACCTAACCTAACCTAACCTAACCTAACCTAACCTAACCTAACCTAACCTAACCTAACCTAACCTAACCTAACCTAACCTAACCTAACCTAACCTAACCTAACCTAACCTAACCTAACCTAACCTAACCTAACCTAACCTAACCTAACCTAACCTAACCTAACCTAACCTAACCTAACCTAACCTAACCTAACCTAACCTAACCTAACCTAACCTAACCTAATGTAAATTTAATTAATCAAACCAAATGATTTTMTTTAAAATCCAAAAAACTAAACTTAATAATATAAAACATTAAATAAAATATTTTATCATTATAAAATAATAAATATATTAATCTCAACAAAATACCCTGACACTCTTTTAGATTTTTGTTTATAAATAATTAATTATTGAATTACTATTTAGCGAACTAATTACTAAAACTAGTTACTAATGAATGTTCACCTAGATCAATTATAGATATAGCAAATATAGGTGCTTATATACATAAATTAATATCTATAAATATTAACAAAACTGTTATACGTTTTAGTATTTATCAGTTATAAATAATTAAATTATTATTTATTTATTATTAAATTTTATAATCAAAACAAATAGAATTTACTAGTTTAGATTTTATTAATAATATATTTTATTTATGTTAAAATAATAATTTTTACATTTATGATAATTAACTGAGTATTTTTAATAATTTATACATAATATATTATATAATAAAAAATTTAATTAAGAATAATTTATTTTTAGTTTAATTTTTTAAAACTATTTTTAAAAATTTTCAATTATATACAATTATTTTGTTTTCGCCAACACTGTTAAACAAACAAAATAAATATTATAATAAATTATGTAAACTTAAATAAAACCAAATTTACTTACTAAACTAATTATTTAATATTTAATGAATAAACATTTTTTATTAGTTTATAATAAATCAATATAGTATTATTAAAAATATTATATTAATATTTATATATTAACTTTTTAAAAAAAACATCTAATATAATAATTTAGTTTAATAGTATTACTACTAGCATATAAAATAACATTTAATAGCTATTAAATTATTATATAAAAATATGATATAATTATTAAAATAACATGTCAACTATAATTACTAAATTCATTAAGAAATATATAAAAATAAATATTTCTAAAGATATGCAATAATAAAAAAATTTTGTTTATTAAAAATGAAAATGGTACAAATAAATATATAAAAATATTTGTAAATAAGTAATTGGTACCAAAAAAATATAATATAGAAATAAAAATTTTTACTTACACAAACTGCAATACGGTATTTAAAAATAAACTATTTTTTGTTATGTTAATGATTTATATGACTAATATAACTAATGATTGTAAATATATTTTTTTAATAAAATATTAAATAATCATTTGGTTTACATTAATTGCTTTTACATAACATTATTTATAAGTGTAATGTAAAAAATATATATAATTAGTACATTTAGTTACATAAAAAATGTAATTGCATATATATATTTTTTGTTAAAAATTTTATATGTAAATCTCTTATATAATTTAAGTTATGTTTTTAAATTTATCAAAATATATTTTAAATTTTTTAAATTTATGTCTTTGTTTATATCAAGTTTATATAATTAGTGCACAATATTTTTCATACGAAAAAATTACTAGAGTTAAGACAACAAATATTAATGAAATACCTGGACTAACTCTATGTGTTTATAAGCCTACATTACTCTATGACCATATTTATAATAAATATATTAAGAGTGATTCAAATACTATAACAAATAAAACTCAATTAACATTTAATTTTGAGGAATTCAACAACAATTACACACTAAGAGAACAATTTAATGTTTTCAATTCAATTGATAAAATTATTGAATGCAGAGTTTTAAATATATCTCTACTAATGATAATGACAATGATTGCTATACTAGTTTGACTGTTAGTAAATCAATTGATTATCTAAAAGTTTGCTATACATTTAGTTTAAGATTTCAAAATAATATTATTGTTGAAGATAAACAGACAACACTCAAATCAAAAACTGTTTATGATTTGAAAATTTTTAATAGAACTAAAATCTTTGGAAACTATCTGACAATTGCATTACACTCGCCAACAGCACAAGTTTATAAAAGTATTTATAAAGAAACATTTGATATCTCCTTAGAAAATCATGACACAACATATGTTAGCTATAGTCATAAAATCGTTTCGTTTAAAAAAGTTTATACTAATGGTTGGCAATGTTCAGAAATAACAAACTATGAACAATGTCAGAGTGAATGTTTTATTGATAATATCATCAATCAAACTAATCAATATCCTGATAGTTTTCTATGGCAATCAACATCAGAAAAGTACGGTTTCTGTGTTCAATATAAATTTATTTTTTTAAGCATTGATGAGGAAACTATCGTTAACAACAAATGTAAAGAAAAGTGTAAAAATATTTATGGTTGTTTCGAAAATTCTTATACTATTCATCGTAGAAATGAAAATAGTAGTAATTTGAATGGAAATTATTTTATCGAAATTGAAAAATTAAACGATTTGGATGTTATTTACGAAGAATCAGATAAGATTTCATGGCAAGAATACATATGTCTGATTGTATCATTACTTGGCTTTCATTTCGGATTTTCAATACTTTTAATGACAGACAGTTTTATAAAATTATTAACTTATTTACACAAAAGGCATTTATTAAATAAACAAAAGAAAAAGAAACCTGTACCCAAACATAATGTTTATTATCATGTCGGCGATAATAATGTCGTTATTCGACCAATTGTTAATAATCCAGTGGTTACCAATTCTGTCAATAATAATCCGATTCAAATCAGTCGTAATGTTAATTCAGTTAATCATAATCGAAATTTATTAGTTCGAAGACCACGTCTCCTATCACGTGTCTCCACCAATCCCATAGTACCCGTCAGTGTCTCCATCAACCCTATTATACCCAATCGTCTGACAAACAATACAATTGTCGCACATAATCCAATTCTAACCAATCGAGTGGCAAACAATGTGGCMAACAATCCCATTGTTCCCAATATTGTCAAATCCCATTGTTCCAACAATATTGTTCCCAATATTGTCGCACATAATCCAATTCTAACCAATAGAGTGGCAAACAATGTGGCAAACAATCCCATTGTTCCCAATATTGTCGCACATAATCCAATTCTAACCAATCGAGTGGCAAACAATGTGGCCAACAATCCCATTGTTCCCAATATTGTCGCACATAATCCAATTCTAACCAATCGAGTGGCAAACAATGTGGCCAACAATCCCATTGTTCCCAATATTGTCGCACATAATCCAATTCTAACCAATCGAGTGACAAACAATTCAATTGTTACCAATCGATTGGCAAATAATCCCATTATACCCATAATTGAAGCAAACAATGTGGCTAACAATCCCATTGTTCCCAATAGTATGGCAAACAATTCAAGTATACCCAACAATCCAATTGTACCCAACAGTATGGTTACTATTCGTCCAAATAATGTATCATTTCGTCGCCGAAAAAGTCAACTTTATTAAAAAAAATAATAATTATTATTTTTATTATTAATATTTTACATATAAATTATCAATATTATTGCCATCCATATAAATTTTGCACAACATTAACTAAACACTAATCGCATTTAATAGTAAGTAAAAATATCTAATAATAAAAATTATTATTATTATTATCCATTAATTACATGAAAATTAATTGTATTTTTTTTATTTTGTTTTTCAAACTTTTAGTAAATAATTTTTTTTAATTAGAAAAAAATTATTATCAAAATATATATTACTATTTGTTCGCCACATTTGATGATTGACTTTTTGATGGATATAATTGACGGTTCAGTTGACGTGTATTGTTATGGATASCGATGATGGCTGTCTGTCTGTATGTATGGATAATCTAAGCACCGGTACTTTTTTTTGGATAAGTTAATACCCAATAGTTTGTACTCATAATCAGCTAATATTTATATTAACCAAAAAAAAAAAATTAATTTTCTATCTATAGTACTGTCAATATGTTGTGGTGTCTACCAGTGCTTTGTCGATGGTTTGTCCTAAAAATACATGTGCTATTTAGTCTAACAGTTATGTCTACCACCGGTGCTGTCAAACACATTGATTTTTATTTTTGTTTATGTTTATGTAAGTATACAAAAAAAAACACACATAATTACTATATCAATGTCTTAAAAAAAAGTTTTTATAATTAATAATAATTTTTTTAAATTTCCTATACATTAGGATTAAGTTTTTTTTTTGTTGGTGGTTGTACCGATGCTACCGGTGCTGTCAGTACTGTCGGGCCAATACAGCAGTCGAACCTATTCTAACGTCAACAAAAAAAATATGTTTTCATTAGTGGCAAACATATACTGGTTTTATTTTTATTTTATATAAAGTATATTTTTTAAAAAAAATTTAAATTAAATATAAAATATTACAAATCGTAAGTAATTATATAAAAAAAACTATAATAATAATTATTATTATCTATTAATGAACTGTTAACTGAAAATTATATGTTTTTTATTTTTCATTTATAAATTATCAAAAGTTATTGTCACACATATAAACATTTTTAAGCATAACAATTACTAATTGCATAATAATTGTAAGTAATAGTATCTAATAGTAATTATAAATTATTATTATTATTATAATTGTTTAATAAACTGAAAATTAATTATATATTTGTTTTTTATTTTTCAAAAATTTTTAGTAAATAATTTTTTCCTATAAAAAAAATTATTGTCAATATATTTATGGCTATTTGTTTGCCACTATTGATGTAAACATTTTTTTTTGTTGTTAATGGATACTATCGACGGATCAGTTGATGTGTTTTTTTTATGGATACCGATGCTCTGTCTGTCTGTTCAATGGATAATCTAAGCATCGGTACTTTTTTTTATGGATAAGTTAGTACCCAATAGTTTGTACTTATAATCAGCTAATATTTATATTAACCGAAATTTTTTTTTCTATCACTAGTACTGTCAATATGTTGTGCTATCTACCGGTGCTTTGTCGATGGTTTGTCCTTAAAAATACAAGAGTTGTATCAGTAGTGGTATGGTATAGGTATGTCTATACCTGTGCTTGAGTTTACCACCCCGGTGCTGTTTAAACACATTGATTTTTGTGTTATTGTTGTTAAGTAAGTACTATCAATGTCTTGAAAAAATTATAATTAAAGTAATTTTATTTATTTATAAATTTAGTTTAATTTTTTCTTTTTGGGTACCAATTCTACCGGTGCTGTCGGTGATCGGGCAGTCGTACCGATGTTAATGTCATCAACAATAACAACAACAACAAAATGTTTTCAGTAGTGGCGAACATATACTGTATTTTTTACTAAATTTAAATATAATTTACAAAAAAACAAACCGTTTGTCTACCGGTGCTGTCAAACACATTGGTTTTAATTGTAGTAAGTAAGTATACAATAAAAAAAATAATTTTTTAATTTCTTTAGAAAAAAAATTTTAAAACTTTGTTTTCAACAGTAATCTAATGGATTGACTAATATATGGCTAAAATATTGGTGTCGGCTATGCCTACCCAATGGTCAATGTCAATATATTTTGGTACCGGTGCTGTCCATACATTGTTGTCAATAATGTCAAATATATATATATATATATTAAAAATTGAATTTATAAAATTTAAATTACATATAATAAATACTCAAAATAATAATATTATTATATCATAATATTGATAATTATCTGCATTATAATCAATAATCATTAAAAAATTTAATAGTAAGTAAATAATATATATTAAATTATTATTAGTTAAAAATACTTATAATAATTGAAATTTTTTAGTTTATTTATTTAATTTATTCAATTAGTATTAAAATGATTGCAACAATTACTATGTAAACAATTATACTTATTTATATAACCTAAATATATTAGTCAATAAACATCATGGCACAAATTAATTTTTTTTTAATTTTGTGTTTTAATTTTTAAATTTTATTAACCAGGTATTAAAAAATAATATTTTCAATTTTTATTGTTTTTTTTTTGGATTTTTATAAAAATATAAATTAGGTTTTTCTAATGTTATATTTTGTGATTACCGATTATATGATAATCTAATGGATCTATGGATTAGTACTAAGCACTGGTAGCTACCGGTTGGGTGCTATGGATAAGTTATTTGAAAATAAAAATTATTTATACCTATTGGCTATAATTGTGCTAATAAATAGTTTATATATGTTATCTACAAGTGCTGTTCAATTATTAATTAGTTAATAAAATAATTTATAATTAATATTAACTAAAAAAATTGTTTAATGCATATTAAGTTTCATATATATATATATATATAATATATTATTTAATGTAATATTTATTGATTTTAAATCAAATATATGATTCATATTTATAATTATTGCAATATTATATTATTATTACATATATCAAAAAAAAAGTTAATTATAAATTTACTAATGATTATTTAATGTATAATAATATACAGTACTAATTATACTTTATTATACATTATGTCTACTATAATATAATAATTAATGTTTTTTTATTAAAAGAAAATATTTTTTATTTATTGTTAACTTATTTAATGTCAAATAATTTTTAATAATTATTCTAATAATTTTAATTTTTATTCAAAATATATATATAAATAAATAATTAAATTTATTGAAAATAATTATTTTTTTTATTGCCTATATTTAGATAATAATAATAATAATAAATGTAATCTAAATTATTAACATAAATATATATATCATATTTATATCTGATTCATATTTATTATTATTATAATAGAAATATCATATAAAATATTTATTATTAATTTTTTTATAGAAATTATTTTATACACTACTAATGATTATTTAATATAATATATTATAATAATTATATATTTTAGTATAATATATAATAAAGTTGATAATAATTAATGTTGTTTAGTAATAATTATTTATTTATTGGCTTATTATTATTATATGTTAACTAATGATATGAATAAATAATAAAAAATAAATGTTGTTTTCAAAATTTATATATAAATATATATAATGTATATTTAAATCTAATAGACTAATAGATTTTATATTTAAAATTAGATATCCATTAATTATTTTGTAAAAATAAAACATTAAATTAAATTTATTGTCGTTAACATTGATTAAGTAAAAAATTGGATATAATTTGCTTTAAATTTTTATGTATTTTCTTAATTAATTAGAAAATTAAAATAACATTTTTTATTTCAAATTATATTTATATTTTATAAAATAAATTATAAAATTTACATAAATTAAAAGTTTATATTTTTGTTTATTTTTATAATTTACACAAAAATTACCATGCTATTGATATGAAAATTATTAAAAAAAATTAATATGACTTAAATAACATAATATATATATTTTTTAAATTATTTGTTTAAAATATTTTGTATATAAATATTTTTATTAATTTAATAATATTTATTTTGATTAAATTATCTAACATCATAAATTTATTTTTTTAATGTAAGTATTTACTGTATTATATTATATTTATCTTCCAAATTAATTAAATTTTAAAAATAGATTAAGTTGAAGGACAGTTAGCTGTAAGCTAACTGTCCTTATCTAACAGCTTTTTTTATTGAATAGTATATTAATAATAATAATAAATATATATAAATATTACTTCAATAATACATTACTATTAATATACTGTTGTATAATACTTAACTTGTTATCAATTATAAAAATTTATTTTTATTAAATTTTATTTATATTATACATTAATCTAAATTATAAATTTACAAAAAAAAATAATAATTTAATAAATAATAAAACTTTATTTACATAGTTATTACAACAACAAAAAATTATAAAAATGTTATTATTATTTATTTTTTTAAATGTTAATATTTTTTAATAATTTTATTTTAACTAAAATAATTAATTGATTAAATTAATAAATATTATTAAATAAATAATAAAACTTTATTTAAATAGTTATTACGAAAAAAAAATATATAAATGTTATTATTATTTGTTAAATGTTAATATTTTTTAAATAATTTTATTTTAAAATAATTAATTAATTAATTTAATTAATAAATATTATTAAAAAAAAATTAATAATAATAGTAATAATAATAATGCAATCAGTGATCAATCAGCCAAAACAAGTCGACATTTTATTGACCGCCAGTTCCTCTCAGACATGGCTACAAAAAAACTTGTTACTAGTGTTGACCATTGCATCGGTAATTGTCGGGTCAGTGGCCGGCAGTTTGTTTCGGTTAACCACACCATCGGAAACCCTAATACTGTTAATCGGATTTCCCGGCGAACTACTGATGCGAGCCTTGAAGATGCTTATACTGCCGCTAATGGTGTCGGCACTGGTCATCGGGTTGGCCACCGATAGCAGTACCGATCATCGGGCAAACAGTGGCCGTATGGGCCGGCAGTGTCTGATGTATTTTACTGGTACATCCATGTTGTCGACTGCACTGGGATTGGCTATGGTATTGGTGGTCAGTCCAGGCAATCCCGCTATCAAATCTGGTCACACTAGTAGTAGTAGTTTTACCACCATTGCACCCGATGTTAGCACTTTGGACGCACTATTAGATTTGGCCCGTAATTTGTTTCCCGAAAATATTGTCGAAGCAATGTTTGCCCATACGGCTACCCAATGGACAGGTAGGTTTTTTATTTTATTTTTTTAAAAAAATATTTTTAAATGTAAATAATATTAATTATTTTTATATATAAATAAGTTATTTATAAATATTTAATTATATATATTTTTATTAATTTTTATTAATTATTTATATTTTTATTAATTATATATAATTTTATTTATTTATTATTTAGTAATTATTATAATAATAATATTTATAATATATATTTTAAAAAATAGTTTATTTATTTTTAATAATAGTAGTAAATTGATATAAAAAAATTTATTTTATTTTTAATTATTTTTTAGTAAGTTTTAAGCCATATTTAAAAGCTAATTATTTATTTACTTGATAATATTAAATAATTATTTTCAAAAATTAATCTAGCTATCATTATTTGTCAATATTATCTAACCAAAAAAAATTAATAATAAAAAAATTATTTTTAAATAGCTAAAAATAAAACTATTTAATTTAATTTTTTAATTAGTTTAAAAAAATAATTAATTAAGCATTTTATCAAAAAAAAATAAATAAATAAATATTTAACTAAACTAGGTAGTCAACAACAGCATCGGGAACTGGTATCCAAACCAGGAACCAATACATTGGGTATAATTGTATTTTTTGTTTGCGTGGGTCTACTATGTGCCAGACAACCGGCCCGTTATCGGCTACTTGTCCAATGGTTTACCATTTTGAACGATATAACCATGCAATTGGTTGCCATATGTATGTGGTATTCACCGATAGGTATAGCCTCGCTAATAGCCGGCAAATTGTTGGCCATCGACAATGTGTGGGCATTGGGTGCACAGTTAGGCGTGTTTATGGCATTGGTATGCATAGGTTGTCTAGTCTATGGGTTTCTGGTATTACCCGGTTTGTACTGGTTGGTTGTACGCCAATCTCCTGTACCGTTTTTCGTGGGTATCCTACAGGCATGGGTTACGGCATTGGGTACTTCGTCATCGGCAGCGACACTACCGGTGCTGTTCAGGTGTCTCGAAGATGGCCTGAAAATTGATAAACAAGTAATTTATTTCAAAAATTATTTAAAAAAAATTATTATTGCATTAAAATTAATTGTAAGCAATAAGTTATTATAAATTAATATTTTTGATGATCACTAAAATAAGTAAAATTAAAACTTTATAATTATCTATAGTTATATATATATATATATATATAATTAATTTATTACAGTTTATAAATAAGTTATTATTAATAAATTATTTTAATTATTATTGTATTAAAATATTATAAGCAATAAGTTATTATAATTTTTTTTGGAGCGAAAATAATTAATAGTTTTTTTATTGATTAGTAATAATTTATAAAAATATATAAATCATATAATATATATTGATACATATATATAGTTTTTTTGTTATTTAAATATTTAAATAAATTAATGCTCTGCTCATCACTAAAATACCTAAAAATTAAAACTTTATAATTACCTATAGTTTTATACATTAGTAATTTGTTACAGTTTATATAAAAAAATTATTATTATTAAATAATTTTTTACTTATTATTATTATTATTAGTTAAATACTAAGTTTGTAACGTAAGTATAGTATAATATTGATAGCTAATATATTATTATAATATACTGTAATTAATAATTTAAATTTTTTTTAGTGCTTTTAAAGTAAAACATAATATCCTATTACAACCAATACTTATTTATATTATTTATATAAAACATTTTATTATTAAAAAAAGATAATAATTTTTAAAAAATAATTATTTAAATATAACTTCTATTATTATTTTTTAAAATTATTTACTTTTAAATATAGAATCTATTGATATTTATATATATATATATAATTTATAATTTATATAATAACTATATTAATTATTTAACAAATTTATTTTATTTTTTATACTAATTTTAACCAAGGTAACACAATTTGTATTGCCATTGACAATGGTATTTCATAAAACTGGTACATCAATGTTCATAGCCATTGCCAGTCTATTTATTGCCCAAATAAATGGCCAATCATTGAACCCTGGTCAACTAATTTTGACATTAGTAACATCGGTAGCGGCATCCATGTCCGGTGGCCTACCGTCGGGCAGTATGGTTACCATTGTACTGGTATTGTCGACACTGGGTTTACCGGCCACCGATGTATCCATTATTATAGCTGTCGATTGGCTTTTGTTAGTAATTATTGAAATTTAAAAAAATAATTATTATTATTAAATTTAATTTTATAATAATTTATTATTTAAATTTAAGAATAACTTATTTATTAAATTTAAATTTAATAATTATTTATTTTTTAAATCTAAAATTAATAATTATTTATTTTTTAAATTTAATAATTATTTATTTTTTAAATTTAAATTTATATCTATATTATTATYATAATATAATTATAGAGACCGTATTAGGACATCGATAAATATTTTAGGAAACGCCTACATAACTGGTATTAATTAATAGTTTTTTAAATAGTTTTTAATTATATACAATTAATTTATTAATATTTTTTTTTAATTTAACAATAATACTAATTTATTTATTAATTTGATATTTATTTTTTTTTAATATAGGAATTATATACCATTTATCCAAGAAAAATAATAATTAATTAAATAATAATAATAATAATAATAAAAATAAATATATAATTTTACAATCATTTAACATTAATCATTAAACTGTAAAAATAAAAATAGCATCAATATTATATATTAATAAGTAGCTAATTTTTAAATGTTTTTTAGAATTATAAAAAGATTTAATACAATTATTTTTTATTAAAATAATAATTTTGTATAATTTATTTTTAAAAAAATATATGTATACGTTTTAATTAATTCAGTATTATTAAGATTTGATTATATTATCTGAAAAAACTTAAATAATCTAGTAAATTTAATATATAAAAAAAATATTTTTAGTGAACATTTTAATAAATATAAAAAATAGTAATAATAATATTTATATATTTTTTTTTTAATTTAGATTGTTATTGTAATTTTAGGATTTATCAAATTTCAATTGTTTTTAATTGTTTTTAATAAATTTTTATTAAATCAACTAGCTAGTTGCTTTTTGATGAGATACTTATTATTTAGATTTATATGATTGAAAACTATATTGATATTGATATTTTAATATGAGGTTGTACAAATTGAAATTGTTGTCGATGGTAATTATTTTTTAATAACTTGTTTAAATAATAACTTATTATTTTTCTTATTATTATTATTATTACCATTAATAATAATACTACTACTACTACTGGTAGTAGGGTTATCAGCTACATCAACATTATTAGCTAGCTGCTTTTTGTGGAGATATTTATTATTTAGATTATAGACAAACTTAGCCAGATGAAATATATAGATCATATTGAAACCAAACCATTGGCTAATTAAACTGGCAACCACACCTTGTTGATAAATAAAAGTTTATAATTATATAAGTAAATTAAAAATTTATAACAATAAAATTATTAGATTAACCATGAATATACTGTATATAATATATATTAATTATTATTTAATAATTAAATTATATTTTATAAAAATATAATCAATAACAACAACAATAAAATATTAGCATGCACATTTATTATTATTATTAAACACGTTTAAATAGTCTAATAGCCGTATTGCGGGGCCGATTCTGRCCACYGTCGCCACCGCCACCGTTGCCGCCGCGGCTAACATAAAAATGTCTACCATATAGTTCATCTAGGGTGACCAGATCATCGCTAGTATAAATCCAATAACCTTGATTAATAGGAGGTGGCCAACTATTTTGGTGGTTACACTGGCGGTCCAGTAGCTGAAACATGTTGCATCCAGGTGCCGCTCTAGACTTAAATCGGGAATAGTTGGTGGCMTCCTGTATCTGGCCATAGGGTGCCGTATCGKGACCCTGGGCTCGGAAAAATAGGCCCGCGTACTGTCGGGTCAAATCTTGCCATTGTGTYCCSGGCCAYAGTGCGGCCGGTTCGGGTTGTCCCGGATATTGTACATAGACATAGCCCAGTGGTATCTGARCYGATAATTCAATCGTAGGGTTTGGGTTCGACTCCCAATGAGATGATCGTTGATTTTTTTGCTTACTAGGCAATTGATTACCTAGTAAACTATTGATAATTTTACTAGTATCATTTTTCCGAGCATGCTGTACATTATCCTGATTATTATTATTATTATCCTGATTATTATTATTTTTATTATTATTATCCTGATTATTATTATTTTTATTATTATTATCCTGATTATTATTATTATTATTATTATTATTATTATTATTATTATTATCCTGATTATTATTATTATTATTATCCTGATTATTATTATTTTTATTATTATTATCCTGATTATTATTATTTTTATTATTATTATCCTGATTATTATTATTTTTATTATTATTATCCTGATTATTATTATTTTTATTATTATTATCCTGATTATTATTATTTTTATTATTATTATCCTGATTATTATTATTTTTATTATTATTATTATTATTATTTAATTTTTTAACCATATCCAATTCTAGGCGTAAAGCATCCAGATTAGATTGTAGCTGCTGTAATCTAGTTTCCAAACTGGCTAGCCTAGTTGAGTATAGTTGATCTAGATCAACTAGCCTACTAACTAATTGATCCTGGCTCAATTGTTGCCACATTTCACAGACAACCATATTACGTTTGTTACAYGGTACATCAAACCAATGACCTAGCTCAGATACTATTTGCGATTGCATCTGGACACATTGGTTATTGGATAGATTTCTAGGACGACCAGGTGCCCAATTAGTATATCTATTATTAGTATAATTAGTATGCAGATAATACGGTTCGGATTGAATAGTATCGGGATCAATTTTCAAATCTAGCCAAACAGGGTCGACAATTTTTTGTTCAACAAATATCAATTGTTCTAGATACTTTTGTTCACCTGGGGATCGTATTGTCAATACTTTAGATTGATTAGCTATTTTCTGGCATAATTTTCCAGCATAATCATATGAAACTAAGTGATGATTTTCGACAATTTTAACACATTTTAATTGGTCATCATAGGGTTGCCAGTTTTCTGGACATTTATTATTATTATTATCATTAGTAGTAGGATTGCCAATGTTATAGTTAAAATTATTTGATGATAATATGGTTGAATTGTTTGCAAATATAATTACTAGAGTTGCATATAACAATATTTTATTATTTAGGTAGTACATTTTTTTTAATTAAAAAAAATAATAATCAACTTATATTGTTTACTTAAAAAAAATTACATTTTTTAAACTATCTGCAAATATTATATAAATATTTATTTATTATTTATAAACACTAATAATTTTTTTTCATAACATATAATTTCATTTTTATTTAAATATTTTAAGTTAATTAATATATTATGTTTTCTTTACATAAATTACATATTGTAAATATTTTTTTTAAAAATAAATTTTAGTAAAATTCATATATCATTACAGTATAATTATTAATTATATTAATTACTATTATTTTTTAAAAATTAGATAAAAAACAATATATACTGTATATATATACATGTATATAAATATATATGATATAAAAAATGTTTTATTTTTTTAATGCAATAATTTTTTATATTATTAAAAACTGTAAAATTTTTATTATGGATAATAAGATTATTAGATAAATTAATTTATAGACATTATTAATTGAACAGTTTAACTGATAAACTATAAAAATATAAATACATATAATTAATTAATATAATTTTGTTTATATTAGTTTTTATATTAAAATTTAGTTAGTTTAAATTTTTTTAAGTTTAATTTATTTATAATTTTTTTTAACAAAAATACTTATTTAATAATAACACAATATATATATATATAAATTGTCATAATTTTATATTTTAACTAAATAATTAGTAATTAAATAAAATTGATTAAATAAAATCATCTTATAATTTAACTTATTTGTAATTAATTAGATTATAATAAGAAAACTTTTTATGATATTATTTATATATATATATATATATATATATATTATAATAGTATTACAGAAAATAAGTTATTTTACATTAAATATAATTTTGTTATAATAATAAACATAATAACAATAAATAAACAATTTTTTTAATAAACAACTTTAATTATATTTAATATTATTTAATATTATTTGTATGAATACATTAAATAATCATTAGTAATGTATTTATATAACATTTATATATATATATATATATATATATAATTAATAGTAAAAATTATATGATATTATATTTTTTATAAAAATATATGAATCATTTAACTTATATAAAAATAATTAATAATATGTAATAATAATAATAATAATCTATAAATGAAATATAAATGTAGTATTTTTTTAATCCTAATAATACTAATCGAAAAAATTATTTAATAAACAAAAATTATTTAATTTTAATATTTTTTTTATAAAAAATGTGTTTTGGTTAGCAAAAAAACTGATAATTTAAATAAATTAATTAAACCTAAAAATAAATTAAACCCTAATTTTTTTAAATAAAATAAATATAAAAATCAAATTATTTTTTATTTAAATCTAACTAATATTATATTATTTATAGTTTAATAACAATAATTAACAAACAAACAAAAAGCTAATACATATTAAACTCAATTTTATTTGAATAATAATAAATGTTTGAGAAAATAGACAAAATTTTTGTAAAGCACTGGTAGTTGACATTATCATTGGCCACCAAAAAAAATCATTGACAGCACCGGTAGACATACCTATAATAATAATGACATAATAATAATAAATATAACTTTAATAAACATTTTTTTTAATTATCTCATAGTATACTACAAAAAATTATTATTATTAATAGTATAATACATAAAAATAATCATTATATGTAATTATATATAATAATAATTTTTTTAATATGAATCATATAATTAAAATTTAATATAAATTTTATTTAATAATCTATAATAATAAAGTGTATTATATGCTATATATATATATWTATATATTTAACTTACTGATAAAAATTAAAACAACAATTATATTTATGTGATTTTATTTGCATGTTARAATGATTAATATAAAAAAATTTAAAAACAAATAAATAAAATTATAAGTTAATTAATTATTTAAATTTTTATTTAATGTAAATATTTACTTACAATATTAAATATGATGATGTTTTTTATATGTGAATATTATGATAATATAAGTTACTGTTAATAATGATATTAATAATGATTGTCTAATTAATTAAAAAAAAATAAATCAATTACAATTATATTTATTATTTTAAAATATTTTTTACAWTGCTCAATTTTTATATCCAAMCTTATTGTYGRCCAGTTATGTRTGATTAATATTATTGCTCATAGACWGTAATAACTATTTTTTTTATATATATATAAAAAACAATATTAATTATTATATATATTATAGTATAAGTAWAATAATATTTGWA